GATTATCATCATTTTATATGAGCTTCAACAGTTGCTAATTTGTTTCTGGGCTAATTCATAGTGCTGGTGTTTGCCTTTAAAGTCCTTCACATAGGAAGCTGTCTTATTCTGTGTTAGGCTGTTAGCCTTAGACCAGAACCGTGTAATCTGATTAGTAGCAGGTTTCCAGGACTGCAGGCCTGACCTGCTATGTGTCCCTTTCACATGACCTGCTATGTGTCCCTTTTAATCAGAGATACCTGTGTCTGAACTGGTGAACTTCTACCTGCAAAGTATGTGGCCTATCACTGAGCTAAGGACCACCCCCTAGCCTGAGCCTAGTCTAAAATAGCAAATGTATCTTCATGTGCTTTGAAGTTGCAGAACAAAAGCTTCTTGGCATTCCTACCATCTATCTGGCAGTTGGCCACTGCTGAACAGTTTCTCTTGGTGGTAGACCCCAAGCTCTGGAATCAGTATCTTCAGAGCAAATTTAATGAATAAAAGGCTGTCTTACCGCCTGCTCTTTTTCACGGAGAGTCAGAGAAGAGAGTCCTTCTCCCTAAGCCTTAGGATTGCCTTCTCATGATTTGGAATGCTGAGATGCTGGTCTGACACCTCTTGGTGCCTTCACAGCACTTGGCACCAAAGAAATGGGACAGAACAGGGTGAAGTATTTAATTTTCATATCACTGATTGTGTACATAGTATTGGTGTTATGAGTGGAGAAATACAGTAATACAAAGAGAAGAGACCCCTTTTGTTCTGCAGGAAAAAATTCCCTTCTCTGCTTGCACTCAGCAAGGAAATAGCATTTCAAACCTCTATCATAGCAAGAAAAGAAATCAATACTGTCAGAATCACATATGTGCTTCTGCCCTATTTTTTCCTTCTGCAGCAGCCTTCTTTATGAGACCAGAATGAACTTGTTTGTGGTGAACAGGTCATACAAGTCTATTCTCAACTGTTTCCCATTAGCAGACACAGTTGGCCTGTAGTGAGTGTGGAGAAAGACAAGACACCAATACAGTTTATTATGGAAGACTATCAGCTTTTGATTATGGCCAAATAGTGAGGACATGTGAGGCATGGGAAGGTCTAATCTCCCAGTTCTTTCTCAATTAGTTTTTTTTGACACACCTGTACAACATTGAAGCATTGGTACTTTCCCTATATATTGACAGTGGGGAAGTTTTCTACAGATTTCTTGTTTTTTGGTGTATCTCAGCCTTTGATGCTAAAGAAACCAACCTTGGAAGGTCTAACACAATGTGAGAAGAAGATGGTGAGTGATCAGCAAGGAAATCTTGCTCCTGAGAGAAGATTTTAGCAGAAAGTGAAGAGGTTGTACTGAAAATGTTCCAACCATGTTGGGGCAGTCCCCACAACAGGAATGCTATAAAGTGCACAAAAATGCTAGAAGGGTAGCGTTGGGCTGTAACACAGCTTGTGTTACAGGCGCGCCATCTAAAATTGGCTATAGACCCATGAACTGATGTATGTTTTACCTAGAAAATCCTGCCACATCCTCTGGGAACCAAATATAATCCTATGTTGGGGACAAGAGCATGTTTTTGGAGCCACCAGGAACAACCAAGAGAGCAGGCCTTGCCTCTTTATTTGTAAATATACCAGGATCCCCTCTTATTCCCTTGGGCTGTGGACTGGCTTGTCTACAGTTGACTACCACATTAACCTAACTATGAGGGGCCCTGGAGCTCATTTGTCTACTCCTGAAGTGAGGTATGTATAACCTTCCAGTTGCTATTGGAATGCACTCTCATCAGCTCTAGCCAATATAGCCAATGGTGAGGGATGATGCAAGCTGGATGTCCAACACATCTGAAGACTGATGTACTCTCTATGCAGGTGTCCAGGAATGCACCCTTGGGCCATTACAATTTGTGAAATCCTTTGTCAGTGGATTTCTGAAAGATGGTAGTTGATTTTTTGACAATCATCTTATTTTCTAGTGCCCTTCTCATGGTTACTTTATATATACATATGTATGAAATTCTACTATCCGCTTTCCTTTGATGTAAGGGCAAGAATGGGTACTAGGAGGTTATCCATCTGGATAATAATTATTTCATTTTGATTTTACAAAGTGAGCATTTCACTTTGATAAAACCAGGATACCTTGATCACGAGTATAAATGTACATGTGGTTAAAAATCTATTTAATTAGAAATGTAGGCACAATTCAGGTAAAGCAAAATTTCTGATAGGAAATGTATTGGTTATATTAGTATTAATTTGAGTCTGATTGGTTGGTAAACAAATATATAATGTGAAACCACAGCACTTGAAAATGTTCATGATTTAATTAAATTCAGGCTCAGGCTTCATTTAATTCCTGAATGCTAGCAGCCATTCTTGCTACAGCGTGTAATGATTTACAGACCCCTCTCTGGTAGTATGCTATCTTAATCTGTCAGACTCACTTTAAAGCAATCTAAATGATGGTTTCAGATATTAAGCTATATCTTAAGCAGACTGGCATTACCGTAAGGAAACAGGAGGAAGCTAATTGCTCTGAGTACTGATTGAAAACAATGGGAATAGACACCACCTAGTGCTGTGTTCATGGTATTGAAATGAACCATTTCTCCTGCATTTTATTCAAAGGCCACATTGGATGAATGGCTAGGACTTTCCCCTCTTAAAGCAACTAACTGGTGATCCGCCTACTGAACTTATAGGGATAAAAACCTTGAATAATTGCAGTTTAATTACTAGTGTGAGAGCCAGCATGAGGTAATATTTGGAGCTGATGTTTTGGATTGCAACTTCCACAATCGAAGGCTGTTCAAAATATCAGGAGGGCACCTGGTTGAATAAGTCTGCTTTAGAGAAAGCTCAGCTTTGTTCAAAATGCTACCAGGTGACAGAATAATTCTATGGCAGTAACCATAAGCCTAGAAGCTGAACTGAGAGGCTTATGCTTATCCTATGCAGGTCAGGTGGAGCAGTGGAGACAATCTTTGCCTCCCTACCTTACTCTCTGCATTTTTGCCTGTCTAGCAAAAGCATTTCAGAGGGGAAGGGAAAAAGGCTGAGAGGCCTCACCATAGCTTGAATCTGGGCTTCTCTGATGCTTTCCTCACAGATCAGGTTTCTACCCTTAGGCAGCTGGCATGGTTCTTTCCATGCTATCTGCGAGGGAGAAGGGGTCAGAGATCTGATTCCCATCTCTGAGGCTGGCATGCTGCCTGTAGTCTTGGATTTGCAATCCAAAATATCTTATGGCTCCTCTGACATTGTCTGCGGCTATAGGATTGCTCCCTGACTATATTACAACCAAGCCAACCTCACAGGTTTGTTGTGATAATAAAATGGGAGTGGGAGAGAAAAACATGTATGTTACCTTGTACCATTTGGAGGAAATGTGTTACACAAACATAATAAAATGGCCTTTTGACTGGAACTGCACAGGTTCCTGACCTAGCAAGCCATATCTTGCTCATCAAGCTATGTACTGAGATCTGCTGGATGCTCAATAGCCCTGCTGTCTGGTATTGAAGTCCTAAGAAACCCAAGGAAAAAGATAATGCACTGCAAAATGTGCTTGGTGGATTGTACTTTTCAAGATCTCAGGGTTGTGGATTAGTTAATGAAACTGCTGGCCCAGTGTGTGGCTGCCATGGAAAAAAAAGGCCTAATTCCATATCGGGTATCTTTAGGAATGGAATTGAAAACAAAACTGCCAGTATATACTTGCGCTTATACAAATCTATGGGGCCACTCCACTTGGAATACTGTCTATAGTTCTGGTCACTAAACAGAAAAACAGATACTGTGATTTTGGAATAGGAAACAGCAAAAATAGCAGAAAAGGGCAACCCAAATAATTCAGAGATTGGAGCAACTCCTCAGTGAAGAAAGCTGATAAGATCTGGGACTGTTTTGCTTTAAAAAAGGTGGGTATGGAGAGACATGACAGATGTACAGAATTAAGCATGGTGTGGAGAAAGAGGAAAGGAAGATTTTTTTTTTTCTTTGTCTCCCATAGTACTAGAAATGAAGGACCTCATAGAAAGCTGGTTGGAAGGAGACCCAGGATAGATAAAAGGAAGTACTTAGTTAAACTGTGGAACTTGCTATTAGATGTAGTGATGGTCACTAATTTGTATGGCTCTAAAAGGAGATTTGGCAAATTTATCGACAATTCACTAGTCATGACGTCTGTATATTATCCCAAGTATTGGGACAAGTATGCTTCTTGTATACCCTTGGCCTAGAATGATTGGTAGGAGACTAACAGATGAAAGGATGATTCTCCCTCCCCATGTTTATTAAAGATGCAGGTGCTTCACTAGAAAGAAAAAATGTGGCACCCTTAGTTATAGTTAGTTACAGTGCAATCCAATTCTGGTCTTACCCCAAAGAAGGGCTTCCAAATAATACACATGGGATCAGGCATAGGCTGGACCGCAAATACAAAGAAACATGCACACACAAGTAAAAAGACACACAAGCCACAACTCCATATTCTGAAGACTGCAGAGCTGTACACGAATTCAGCACACTGCTACATGGGTGGAGAAAAAAATATATATTGAAAGTCAGGGTATGAGTAAATTAAGAAACAAAACGCCAAACGAGCCGTTTCGATTGTCCTCAAGAGAGATGCCCAGGACTCTTTTTAGCCAAAGAAACTGACTGGATGCACCACATTAGTAGAGGAGGCACACTAAAGTGTTTCTTAATCCACTGTTTGCTAAAAAAAAAAAAAAGGGGGGGGGATGAAACGAAATTTAGGGGGCGGGCCTCCCCTAGGTCCAGGGCCAGATGTGCGGCTTTCCAGTCCTGCAGGATGCCTTGCATGAACGCTGTGAGATGCTGGCGTGGTGTAAGGAGCTTCGTGCCGACGGCTCAGTGGCGGGGGCGCTGCTCGGGGGACCCACTCCGGCCTCCGGCTCTGCCTCGCCGCGGCAGGGCGGCCTTTCCCGGACGGCCTGTGCGGCGTGTTGGCCCTCGGTAGCCTTGGCGACGGAGCGCCCGCAGAGGCGGCGGGCGGCATGTACGACCGGGCTCCCCGCACCTTCGGCGTGACTCTGGGCTGCACGGACCCCCGGCTGGGCCCCGGCTGCTATGAGCTGCCTTCCCGGACGAGACAGCTCCGAGGTGAGGCCGGAGGGACGAGGGGGAAAGTCTCCCAGCTCCTGCGTCGCTCGCCTGCCTCGCTGGGGGTGGTGGCTGTCGGAGCTGGGGAGGCGAAGCCCCCATCTCCCTTCACCCCCACCTCGGCTCTTTCGTGTGTGCACGCGCGCTTTTGCAAAATATGGGGCAGCCCCTGTGGATAGTGGTTGTCGGTTGGCGTGGCTTTAGCTGGCTGTGCGGAGTTTTGCAGACCTCAAGCGCGTTTAGGGCGCCATCCTGTCCATGATAGACAGGGAGAAGTCCTGCATCTTCCACAATGCTCCAGCCAGCCACGCTGGGCACAGGCAGTGTCAGGGGGTCACCTACTAAGACTGGAGACCCAAGTCTCTGGGAGACCATCTGCCCCATCTCTCAGCTGTCCAAGGGCACTTGCTGAAATAAAGACACAAGCCCTCTGGTTCTCTCTGTTGCATTTGATCCTCGTGGATGAGCAAGCTTTTTGCCCACATGCAGCTTCCTGCTTTCCCTGCTGTAATTTTCCTATTTGAGGGCACTCCCCCCCCCACACAGTCAAATACCCTGTGCTTTCCTGTCTTTTTCATATGTTTTTGCAGGGAATAAGAATTGTGATCTTGCAGCCTGAATTCTATGAATATGTTTACTCAGAACAATTATCTGGATTCACTCGAATCTAAACCCAAATTTTCATGGAATGACTGGGACAGGTGCTTTAAAAAGGTGTTCAGGCTGCAAGCTCCTTTAAGATGGATCCCCCCCCATTTATTAATACAAATTAACGTTTTCTGCCAAGTAAGCATGCATAGGATTTCAGCCGTACGCTGGATCTCTTTGCATATTTGTTCAGAAGCATGTCATTAGGATTTACTTGAATCCTAAGACTTTAACACAAGGGAAAGGACCATATGGGATAGACATTTTTCAGGTACAATAGATTGAAAAAGAAATAGCTGCCAAACATTGACAGGAGTGGGCTATTAGTGATGTACAGAGAAACAACCTTAACACCTTAATGCACTGGACCGTGAAGAATGGATAGCTTTGACTAAACTCCCAGAAACTTATGAAAAAGGTTATAAAGGATAGGGGGATTTCTACTTTTCATACTAATATAAATATAATTTTCACTGATAAAAATAATTTCCATATTTGTAATTGGAGAAAAATGGTGCATTGTAGGTTTGCTTTACAATTGGCCCTAACATGAAATGGTATCCATACTTATTTGGAAATAAATTTCTTGAGTCCATGAACGTTATTCCCAAGCAATATGTATAATTACAGCAGTGTGAATAGCAGAACTCAATGGGACTTCAATAAGTGTGCATAGAATTGTAGGCTTATGTTGCACTGGCATCTTTCCGTAAGATTAAGTCTCATTTAACACAGGATGACATATATGAAGGTAAATCTAGGGCTATGAATAATTAAATAATAAAAATCCTCCTAGGTATCGTTTGAGCAAATGAATAATATACTTTTCAATATCTTGTTAGTTCTTTTCAGTTAATCCTCAATTTTCTTGAGAAAATAGAGAAATGAAAACAATATCCATATTAAAGGTGCAGGCTTAGAGATGTTTATACAGAAGAAAATCATCCAACTTCTAGTGTTACACAGCTAGCCTGGGAAAGCTGGAAGTTACAGGACTTTCTTTCTGTATAAACATCTATAGGATTACTCCCTAATTAATTTCATTTAACCAGTTTGCAGTTTTTCTACCTATATTCCTGCACCCATTGATTTGATAGTTTGCCCCTTTAAACTCAGTGGGATTTACTTCTAAGTAAAGAAGTTTTACATTTGGCTGCTAGTTGGTGATATGAAATAAGTTAGTTTACATTTCATTAAACCACAGCCTATGTCAGAGTGTGCTCCTACAACTTTTCTACTATCCCCAATGGAATGTGCACAGAGCAGATTTAGTTTTTCATATTCTTTGCTCATTCTTGCATTTAGCATTCTTTTGCACAAATTATTCTTGGCAGTAGGTGGAGAAATGTTCTAAATAGGGGGAAATGAAACCCCATGATGGAATTGAATTAAGACAGACTTTAAAGAGGAACTGGTGTATGGATCACAGCTGGTGTCATGCAGGTGCCTCTGGTTCAGAAGAAGTTCTGAGGTGTCAATTAATATATATACAAGGACAAATGCAGCTAAACCTTAATTATTATTTGAGCCATTGCTTTTCAGGTTTGCCCTTTCATAACTCAATTTACTCAAGAATAGCAGCATGGGGATCTGAAAAATAATATCCAGAAGAATTCCATTTAAACTGATCAGATGCCAGTGGTGTTTAAATAAGATATATGGAAATCTACTTTCCTTGCTGTTATTATTGAAACTAAAGAGCTCTGGTTTTGTAGAATTCCTAGTTTTACTGAAAAAAGTAACAAGGTAGACCAAAATAATAGTAAAAGTCAACAGCTGCAGTTTATTACAGAAATGTTGGTTCAGTAAGAACATTGTAAATCAAAATGCTGTATCCATATTGCGTATAGATACCTGGGCAGAGAAGAAGTTCATACATATGTTTGGCAGGGAACTGGACATCAGGTATCAAGGATCTAATGAAAAGCAATGTATTCTTAGCACTCCTTTTCCCACACTAAGGAGATTTTTATGGTTTTGTTGTCACTATACTTCATGCATTCTCGGTATGAGATAATGATTGAGGCCTTGAGTTTTCTGTGTTTGGCATGTGCTTTATTTACATGTGTGATATTTATATTTCCTTGAGCCCTATCAGAGTAGCAGCCCTTTAAACATACTATAAATGGGTATTTGAACAATTCCTAACAGACCTACTGTATATTTTGGATCATACATTCAATATATAGCAGGTCTCCCATATCCACAATATCCAGTTGCCTGGAACAGTACATCCATTATACTGTAATATATAATAGCAAACACTATATACTGTACATATACATTTCTTTTTTCACAATTTCACAGATAGAAGATTTGTTCTTACTATACATCCTAGCAACCTCAGCACATGGTTTTTCCCCTATTAAATCAAGAATTTTGACCTAAAGGAAGAAGTTTACAACTTCTCTTTGGCACTTTACAACTTCTCTATTGGGCGGTGGTCCACTGCAGTTAAGTGAAAATCCAACTGAAACAGCAAATATGGGTGCCTTGCTGTATAAGGCTATCTCAATGTGGGCTATGAAGGACGTTGACAAGGGTTTTCCTTAATATATGTTTGTTTTTTAAACATGAGTAATGTTTATACTATGTCTGTGGGTTAGGTTACTGCTATTTGGTGCAATTTATTTTAAAATCTGGTTAGCTTCAACCTTCCTATCCATAGACCCTTGATCGGAAAACCATGCACAGGGAAGCATTGAAGAGATGTATTCTTCTGCTGTCTGAGTCCCGCCCCAATCTTCATTAACTGAAGCCTTCTTGATTGTGACACTGTGTCACACAATACTTTCTTTAAGGAGGCCTGTTGGAGGCCACATTGTATAGGTTCTGCTGTATGGAAAGATCTGGCTCTTGAGGGGAAACTTCACCAATTGAGAACTGTATTGCTAGTGAATTTGCTACAACTTTTTGATTTTTCCTGCAGCTATTGCTTGTTACTTAGTTTTCATAATTCTGGAGCTTATTTATTTCTTAAGTGACAGCTGGGGGAATAGATGTCTTTTAAGTAATAATTACTTAGTTTTTCTATCATTTTACTGCAAGTTGACATCAATAATGATATTAATAGAAATAGCACAGTTCAGATGTCATACGTCCCAGCCCATATTCATTCTTTCCTCACTTTCCATTCAGCAAAAGGATATGGGGAGGCTATCACTGAACAATATATCTGCCATAGTAAAAGGTAGGGAGGATGGTCATGCAATGCCCAAAGACTGTCTTTCATTGGAAAGAACAGGTTCACAAAATAGTGTACTTCAAAAGCATATGTGTTTGTATGACTCATTTGAGAACATTTTCCACAAGGCAGATTCTTATCTAGGAATATAAGAGCCTCACAGGATCAGACTGAAAGCCCGTTCTGCTCCTACAGTGACCAAGCACAGGTCCATGAGATCTAGCAAGCAGGATGTGAATGTAATAGCATTCTCCTGGTCATGTTCCATGGTAACTGGTATTCAGAGGTATACTGCCTTTGTTCCTGGAACTAATATATAGTATCATGATGGATAAAACTAATTCCCTTTAAATTTGTCTAAACTGGTGGTTGATAACTACTATATTGTGTTATTACATATGCACTGTATGAAGAAATACTTCTTTTTCTTTGTCCTTGTAAAATGATTTCTAAAAATCAGAGCATCATATTTCACATTAGATATTGCTATTAAATTCTCCAAGGTAGATTATGGTGGGAAGAAGATGGTTTTATTTGAGAACCAGGACAAAACACTCTTATGTGCTCAAAGCTGAACGACTGGTCTGTACATATAATGTAAATAAAGTGTGGGAAGTTGTGCTTTCAATTGATCACTATGACTATTAGCACCTATGTAGCACCACTGACATTGCATTTGTATTCCATCTTGTTTCCCTTGTGGGATTTGAGCTCTGTTTTATCCTCACAACTACTCTGGGAGTTAGGTTAGACTGAAAGTGAGTTACTGTCCCAAAGTCCCACATTGAGCTTCATAGCCAAGTTAGGGCTAGAACCCAGATTTTCAAGGTCTCAAGTTCAAGACAGTAACCATAATGCCACCTCTCATGTTTTTTAAAAAAAGGTTTATCAAGATTTCATCACTAAACAATGAGTTAAAATCAGTTCTTACAAATGCTGATGATTCTCACTTTTCCTTGCAGGTGGCTATGCTCCATTTCTTTCTCTGGCAAGTCGTGGCCTTGGAAGTATTTATCAAAATTCTGAGAATGATGTTCCAGGGCCAGGATACTACGAGATTGACAGATCTCTGGTAAAATGTTTATAAGGCTTCATAAGCTTGTTATAAAATACAGTTTCTAATTTAATCTCAGAACCAATAACTTGAGCTATAGCATATCACCCATATTTTTATCCGCATTTGTTGTTTTTCTGTATTAAGAGGGACTGTTTATTTCAGGGGATGCAGGTGGCACAGTGGTTTAAACTGCTGTGCTGCTGGGCTGCTTGATTGAAAGGTCGCTGGTTGGAATCTGCACAATGGGGTGAGTTCCCGTACTCTGTCCCAGTTCCTGCCAACCTTGCAGTTTGAAAGCATGCAAATGCAAGTAGATAAAAAGGTACCACTTCGGTGGGAAGGTAACAGCATTCGGTGCACCTCGGTGTTTAGCCATACCAGCCACATGACCAAGGAAACTTTCTGCAGACAAATGCTGGCTCCCTCGGCTAGGAAATGGGGATGAGCACCGCCCCCTAGAGTCAGGCATGACTGGACTTTAATGTCAAGGAGAAACCTTTACCTTTATTTATTTCAGAGCATAATATTGCTAACAAGTTTGTACTGATTTAAAATACCTCTAGGGTACAATGTTGTGTTTGTTTAGACAATAAAAAAACTCTCAGGATATGTGGTAGTGTAATGGTACCTCACTTTTCTTCCCTTCCCTTCTCCTCTGAAGTGCCTACACTAGATACAGAGACCAGTGCAGAGACTATGGATGAGCATTGTGCTCATGAACATCTTCTATTTTTTCTGCATTGTTTGGAATGGTTGCCAAGTCATACTAGAATTTTTCCTGTGGTCCAGTCTGTGTGGTTCTTTCCAGGTTTGTGGACAACAAAACTGTGGACTTGTTGCTATGCTAAATCTTGTTTGACCTGAACAAATTACCAGAGAATATTGTTGCAGTACCATCTCTGCTCTGGTACAGCCTATACTGAAAAAAGGTGTTATGAGCCACCAAGACCACCTGTGCATCCAGTGTCAATGATGAATCTAAAACTTGCCCTTTAGGGAAAGAAGTACAGCCCTCTGCATTTTGGCTAAGTTGAATGCCCCTTAATTGAACAGATGGACAACCTAAAACAGCTTTCTCTGTCTTGTCTGGTTTGAGTCTCAGTTTATTGGCCCTCATTCATTCTATGACTGTATCCATGCACTGATGCAGAACATCTGAATATACTGTTATAAGTCTTACAAAACTGAAATGTATTTATTTGTTTTGATTTTGTTTGAGATGATTGAAGTTGTAGAAGTTTTCATTTTTATTCTTGTTTTGGATTATGCTTCCCTGTATCTATAAGCAGTAATGTTCGCATGTATCAAAGGTAATGGAACATTTTCTTCTCGCTGTTAGATTTAATCATCTCAGTATGGTGCTGCTCAGATGGCAAATGTAGAATACTTATAAATTATTGTAGTTAAGTGGCTTAGGATAAAAGCATTTTTAATTCATAGAAACATAGAAACAGCGAGTCAGAAGGGGTCTTCCGGGCCATCTAGTCTGACCTCCGGCACCAGCCAGCTCCGCTCACGACATGCCCACCATGTGGACATCCAGCCTATCCTTGAACACCCGCACTGATGGGACCTCAACGACCTCTTGTGGAAGCCCATTCCACACCCTCGGGGTCCTGACTGTCAGGAAGTGCTTCCTGGCATCCAAATGGAACCTTGGCTCCCTGAGCTGGAGGTTGGAGCACATCCTGCCTGCCTTCCTCTGCAGGGGAGAACAGGTCCCTACCCATCTCCATGTGACATCCCCTCACATACCTGTATGTCGCCAACATATCTCCTCTGAGTCTCCTCTTCTCCAGGCTGAAGAGACCCAGTTCCCTCAGTCTCGCCTCATATGGCATCCCCTGCAAACCGGCCACCAACCTTGTGGCCCTACGCTGCACTGACTCCAACCTGGCTATATCCTTTCAACCTACTTGTTAGAATATTTAATAAAAACTTTCAGACTCCACAACCTATATAATTATGTATAAAACTAGACTGTATTTTATTGCTCAGAATGGAAAAGGACTTTGATTACCAAATAAACATTCAATGGTCGTGAAATATGTATGGGCAAAACAATTAGATTAACAAGTTTTAAAAGAATTTATAATAGATAAGGTTTTGATGTAGAATTCTCTCTGGTGGAAAAAGGGAATTAACATAATTACTATTAATATTATGGTTACTTTAAAAAAAAAAACAAGAGAAGGTTGAAATAAATGGGAATGGCTTTAGGGCAGACTTGTTCAACCTAGCATCCTATGCATTTGTTGGACTAAAATGCTTATCAGTCCCAGATAATGCAGCGTGTTGACTGGGGATGATCGAAGACAGGTCCCTCTCATCTGGAATGCAGCGGCTGAGGAAGGCTGATCAAAGGCTCTGTTTTGTTTGTTGTTGTTGTTTTTTTTAAAAATAAAAGCCATCTTCACTGTGGCAATTTTTATTCAATAACCTTAATATATATTTGCAAGCAAAGGAGTTTTATCATTCTATTGTGTAGACAAAGCAGATTTAAATTCGGCTGTCCTTTTCAGTTTAAAAAGGATGAGATTGTGCATATTTATATTTTGGCAGGGCAGAAAAAGCAACCTAACAGAAATGCAGAAAAGGATTATTTTGCTTCTGTGTGAGTTCAGTATCTTGGCACAACATTGTGGGTATTTGTTTTTATTGGCTTACTCAAAATTTTCAAGTCATTACATACTGAGTTGATGTTGGATTTGGATACCATGATAACCTACATTCAGTGGGTAGGTGTGGGTTGCCCTCAAACCATGGGGTATGTTGTTTGAACCCAGCCATGATAACTAATCATGGTTTGTTAACTACGTATTATGCAGAGCTTACATCCAACAAATCGTGGATTTATCTTTTTGAATTTTTTGAGTTTACTTAATTACTTAATGGTACTTAATTGTAGTTAATAATGATTAGCAAGCAGTATGATGGCCAAGTTGACATGATCAATGGGGAAAAGAATCCACTTCCATATGTGTGGATCTCATGTCAAATGATTCACCTTACTACTCTTGTGGCATGTGGATTACTGCACTCTTTGCTCCTGATGCAGGGAGTGGCTTCTTGGCTACAACAAGCCATGGCTTCTGAGGTGCTTTAGAACCCTCCCCCACCACTCTCCGGACTAGATTCAAATAATGGCCATTTTCTTACATCACAAAAAGCAATACTGTGCATTTTTTACTAGGCACCTTTTTTGCATGGATGTGCCTGAAAGATGATCAGGCCCAGCAGAGTAACTGCCCTCCCATCTGGCATTTTCTTCTGTGTTTGTCCTCCATTGTGGTTTTCCGGAAGGCATTGTAGGGAGGAATGAGGCTGTCAGTGGTGCTCTCTGTTTAGCCACCAGCCACACTTGCCAAGAAGCTCTAGGGTTCTTACCACTGTGCCACACTCAGTTGTGTTTTTTGATCACAACGCAACAAGCAGCTGTGATCTTAAGAGACCATAGAACAGACAATTGTGTCTGTCCATGGTTTCTCAAAACCAAATGTATCAAGCTAAAATACCACATTGGAGTTTGGACAACATGATAGTCCAAAAAAGGTACAAAAATGTTGTTTGTTCTGCCATGCAAATGCACCCAAGATGAAACATTATTTAAAAACAATATAAAACTTAGTCAAGTAATAATAACATTGAGCAGCATTAGTAAAATCCATTGCCCTGAAGAAGAAGAGAATAAAATACAATTCGCTCCCAAACCAGTCAAGTGCAGAACTCAGGTCAGGGAAACAATATGTGAGGGGATGATTTTGGAGGTTCCAGATTCTTTTAAAGGTAAGAACCAGGTCCACCCTAAAATAGGATAATTAACTAATAAGTATGACTTAGTTGTCCACACTGCATTCTGCCAGCCTAAGGCAGCACCCTGACAGCAACACTTTTAGTGGCAGCTTGGGCATTTTTGGAAAGCCAAAATTTATTATAGTGTGAATTACCATGGGTGTAGAAGTTATGTACAAGGTGTGCCAGCTGAAGTTGATAGAGGGCATTACAAGCTGCTACTGCCACTTGAGCTTTCAGAAGCAATGCCTGGTGAATGAGTACCCTGATCTGAACCATTATTTTAAGAATCCTGGAACTTGGCTAGCAAGAGAAATAATACTCAAGAGCTCTTTGGGAGGTTCAGAGCAATTAAAACCATAAAATGCAAGATTATCAGATTCAATATAGAAATGTGAATGTTTAAAATTGTAGTATGAAAGTAAAAACATAACCAAATAGAATCAAGCTTCAGTGCAAAGTTTTATGTAACTGATTTACATTGCAAAAATATGCTACCAGATTTAAAACTGAAGTGGAAAAATAACAAATTTTTCACCTGGTGCTGAAAGGTTCAGTGTAGGCACTAGTTGATCCTCTCTGGGAAGTTTATACCAGAGTTGGGATGGCGGGGGGTGGGGGGTAACTCCTTAGTGGCTACTCACCTTACTTACTTTGGTGGGGACTCCTTGAGAAGGACAACTAAAGCTGATCTTAGGGTTCAGAAAGGTGTATGTAGGAGGATACCATGATGTAAATGTCCCAGAAAGGAGGAAAAGAGAGGCTTGTGGGTAATTCCTAAATTAAACCAGAATGGTTCATATGGACCACAGACACGGTTTGAAATATTTGTAACATGTTTGCAACAAACCTGAACCACTTCATATTTCATGTATTCGACAATTATGAGAAGAGATATTGAATGGTATTTCATTTCCTCTCCCCATTATTATCATTCTCTTACTGAGGTATCAGATGTCCAATTTACTGCTACTGAAATATATGAGAAAGTGAATCTATCACACATTTAACTTAATTCTCAAAATAGGAAAGAGAAGCTAACTTGGCATTTTGCCAGTTCAATAAATTGAAATGTTCATGGTTAACTCACTTCAAAGGCAGTGGAATAGCTGAGGGGTGGTGGCAATTTTTTCGTGTATATTTCTGTGCATACAGAAACAAAACTGCAGCACTGCAGAAATTTAGGAAGAATTTTGGGTAGGGATCTGTGGTCTAATTCTTCATAATATGACATATGAATGATGTTATATAAATAGTGGTGATTTTAACTTCATGGGTTATTTTCCTTCATTTTTCTTAACTCCAGAAAATTGTTAAAGGGGGCCACAGTCCCCAGTACAAAGAGCAACGTTTCAAACAGATCTATGATGACACTCCCGGTCCTGGAACATATTCCCAACCTCCTTCAATAGGTCAAGATGTCAGCAGGGTAAAGAAACCATCTAAAGTTCCTTCTGCACAAGTATGTCTGCATTAAGAAGGATGCATTGTTATAATTTTATTTTTATTGACTGTCAACATTGATGTTTGTTTTATTGGCTGCCAACATTGATACTTTATAGCTTCTGTGCAGAGAAGGAGGTAGATAAATTATGTATACCAAGATTCACACAGATGTTTGTTCTGTTGCATTTGGAAGTTCAGGAGTTTGGAAGCCTGCTCCAATTACAAATGTGTACTTAGGACAAAACAGACTTTAAGCTGACCCCCCCCCCCCCCCCACACACACACTTCCTATGGAAGTTTATATCTGTCTTCCTTGATACTATCCTGTTTCCTCCTTTTGCCCTCTTGTCTAGTTCTGCTCGGTGTAGTTGTCAGAGCTCCAGTCTCAGGTACCACATATTCATATAATTTTCTTCTAACTCTTGGTGGACATGTAGGAGTCCTTTTTAGCCATCTTGTTCCATTCTCTGCTTCCTATAGTCCTCTTAATGCTTTATGCTTAAAGAATTCGCTGCCTCAGCATCTGTCTTATAGGCCTCTTCTCTTTAAAAATTTTTACAGTATCACTGGAACCCACCTGGTATCGAGTACAGCCGTTCAGGTGGTCCAGTATGAGGAAGGTCTGACCTATGCTGCATGTTTTCTGCAGGGCATTTGCTCTTGCTTCTACTTTTGCAATGGAGGCACTCACCTACAGAAGTTCAAAAGTCCTACGAAATGCAGAGAAGGGGCACTGCTGTTCTCTGTGAGGGTGGAGGGGTGATATATAGCCTTCCCTCCACTCAGCATTTTCCTTGTATACAGTGGTACCTCAGCTCATGAACGCCTCAGTTCATGACCAAATGGGGTTGCAAACAGAAATTTCTGAAAAAATTTGCCTTGGGTCACAAACTCCGCATTGGGTGATGATCACGATCGCGCCCACTTTCCCCCCCAGCGTATCCGCCTTCCCCTGGCTCGCACTCCCCTCCCCTCCAAGCATGCCTGCGATTGCGCCCATTTCCCCTCAGCGTGCCTGCTTCCCCCTGATCATGCCTGCCTCCTCCCGAGTGCGCCTGCCTTCCCCTGGGCATGCCCGTGATCACGCCTGCCTTCTCCCCCACTGCTCCTGCCTCCCCCCACCCCGAGCACACCCACTTCAAATTTTTGTGATAAAAAAAAAAAGGGTTACAGAATGGATTAACCTTATTTACATTGAACCTTATGAGGAAATTTGAGTTGGCTCACAACCAATTTGGGTCACGACCAGAGTCCAGGAATGGATTAAGTTCGTGAGCCAAGGTACCACTGTACATGGGGTCTTTTCTTTGCTTCCCATGGTCAGTGTCCTGTTTGGCACCAGTACTACCTCTAGAAGGTGATGCTGAGTCGTTTTCAGCCCAAGGGCCAAGTTTCATTTTGAACTCTTGGGGCCTGCGTTCTAGTGGTGGATAAGCCCAAAAGAAAGGACTGGGGCCAAAATACCAGCCTATTTTATTTTAAAGCTCTTGCTACCAGTAATTAAATATTTGGGAAAGGTATTTCAGTCTTTTAGACAGGGGCACGTGCGTGCGCGTGCACACACACACACACACACACACACACAAGCAGGAAATCCCCAAATGATTTGTGCTGAACAGAAGGGGAGTGGGGCCAGGAGAAGAGGCATGATCTTCTGGGGAACTCCAAAGGGACAGTTTGGGATCTCAGTTTGGCTGGATTTGTTCTCAGGCCAATATTCTACATCTCTGCTTTAACACAACCCCAGTAGCTTTTGCTGGCACGATCATTTTTCCAAGGAAACTGCCACATAAGCAAATGCTATTAGTATTATATTTATTTATTTATTTAGTAAACTTCTATGCAGCCCCATTCGCCGAAGCCTCGGGGCGGCTTACAACAATAAATAAATACATATAATCATATAAAAACAATATAATTGGAAACGCCCTGGCCAAAGATATAAAATCAATAAATAAGCTAACAATTAAAATGCCGTTTAAATAAAAAGGTTTTCGCCTGGCACCGAAAAACATATAACGACGGCGCCAGGCAGACCTCTCTGGGGAGCGCATTCCATAGATTGGGTGCCACCACAGAGAAGGCCCTCCTCCGGGTACTCACCCTCCTAATATCCTTCACGGAGGGTTCCCGGAGAAGGGCCTCTCCCGCTGATCTCAAGGAGCAGGGAACACGTATGGGCATAAGCACTCCTTTAGGTAACCAGGACCCAAGCCGTTAAAGGCTTTATAGGTAATAACCAACACCTTGAATTGGGCCCGGACTTCAATGGGGAACCAGTGGAGTTGATAATAAAGTGATAATAAATAATAAAATATTATAATAAAGGTAGCTTACATTAGCATAACATAATTTATATTCGTGCCAATTAGAAAGCTTCCCCATGACTCTTCACTTAAAAATAGGCATATCATTAAATTGAAAGCTGTTTCTAAAGTGTTGCAACCTACAAATTTCTCTGACTCAAATATTTTTATTTTGTTTTTTTTAATGTATCTTCAAACATGGAGAGGGCTCGCAAAGGTGCTCCCGGTTTATGAAATGGTGCAAAACCTATGTCCCTTGGAAAAGCTCTAGTTAAAATTAGGTTTTTGTATTGGACTTATGCAACACAGTATATTTGATTCATATTTTTTGAGATGCTTTAAGGATGAAACTCTGTTATAGTTTGGTTTACAGTCCATTTTTTAGTCTCTGAGATTCTACTTCAAAGAAACAAATCAATGAAACAAAAACCTTGTTCCTGATGAATAAAAAGTGGCAAGTTCACAGAACAGTAACTGAATCTCTTTAATCTGCACAAACTGGGAACCTTAACCAGTGTCTCTACTTTGGCCTTCAAAACCGTACCATGCATAGAATCTTGTTAAAATATACTGAAATGACCAGAAGTTCTGTGGGTATTACTAACATTTTCCAAACCATGAGATACTGAAGGATCAAGTACAGTGGTACCTAGGCTCACAAACGTAATCCATTCCAGGACTCTGATTGTGACCCAAATTGGTCATGAGCCAGGTTAAATTTCCCCATAAGGTTTGATGTAAATAAGGTTAATCCATTCTGTAACTATTTTTTTATCAGAAAAATGTGAAGCAAAGTGACAGAGAACAACAAAGATCGTGGTCATCTCCTCCCCTCCACCCCAAGCATGAGCGCAGCCATCTCCCCCCCCCCCCCAGCACGACCGTGATCGTGCCCATCATCCCAGCGCACTGGGGAGGGGAGAGACCGGTGTGAATGTGGGGGTGCTGAAGGGGTAGAGATGGGCGTGGATGCGGGCGTGCTTGGGTGGGGGAGAGATGGCTGAGATCGCGCTTGCGCAGGAAATACCCGCGCGATCTTGGCCACCTCCCCCACCATCGCCAGCATGATCACAGCCATCTCCCCACTCGGGGGGTGGGTGGGGAGATAGCCGTGATTGCAGTCACCACCCAATGTGGAGTTTGCAACCCGAGTCAAAAATTTTATGAAATTTTTGTTCGCGACCTGATTTGGTCGTGTACTGAGGCATTCGTGAACCAAGGTACCACTGTATAAGACATTTGGATTGGAATTGTTGACCTGTGTTACACAGGGCTTCTCTTAACGGTCATGTTTCCTTACTGCCTTTGGCAGCAAGAACAATTTTTTTTGTTAATGACATTGATATAAAATCTCTATTTTTGTTTAGTTACAAGTCTATCAAATATGCTTGTACTTTATTTTAGTCAAGTCTATGGAGTTCATAGCTTGTACACTTAAGCATATTCTTTTGTATGGTAAATTCCACTGAATGTAACCAGTCTCATGTTGAACTGCTGGAAGAATGTGTTACTGCTGCTACAAGGCATATTGTATTTGTTTCTGTAGAAACTTGCAGGAAGTATCAAAATCTTCAGAAAGTCAGATGCTCCTTCTATCCCTTCTCAAGGGCAATCATACGGTTATGAAGAGGCTGAGGATGGCACTCTTATAAAACATAACCCTCCTGCAAGAGACAACACTTTGGGTCCAGCATACTATCGAACAAAAAGTGTAAGTAATTTTTAACTCATTGGATTCTCATTGTCTCAACCTGGATCTTGAGCAGCAGACAAAACTTGGACATAGTAAGGGAGGAACTAGCCAGTTGGCTAGTCAGCAGCCACAGTGGAAGGCCTGGACTCAAGCCCCAGAGGCAAACCTTAGTCAGTTAGAATTGCTGGGATCCAAGCTGTCAGTATGGGGAACTTCTAAAAAGCAGATGCTGAGCAGGGTTCTCCAGAAGAATTAGAACCTTCCTGGACAGGGACCTGACATTCCTAAATTCCTGCTTACCAGAAGGGAATGGATGTGAACAGTGAGGTAGCTAGGTTTACTGATGATACCAAATTACTTTTTGTGACTGAAACAAGAAGAGATCACAAAGGATCTCTCCAAATTGGGGGAATGGACATCAAAATGGCACATGCAGTTCAGTTTAAACTGGTGTAAAGTGATGCATGCTAGGGCCATAGCTCCCAACTTCACATAAACACTGATGGGGGCTGAGATAGAAGTGTCTGACCAAGAAAGAGATCTTACCAGTTTCATGCTTCCCTTATACACATTGATGATAAGACTGTACTGAGAATACGCTGCATAATTCTGGTCAGTGCATATGGATATTGTAGAGTTCAAAAACATGCAGAAAAGGGCAACTAAAATGATCGAGTGGCTGGAGTAACTCTCTTGTGAGGAAAGGTTACAACACATGGGACTGTTTAGCTTAGAAAAAAATGAACATGGAATGTCATGACAAGTACACAGAACAGTGGATAGGGAAACATTTTTCTCCTTCTGTCATGATCCTTGAGCCTGGCATCATCCCATAAAGCTGGTTGGGGAGAGATTCAGGACAGATGAAAAGATGTGTCACAAGTGAACCTTTCTGTTCTTTTAATCCTGAGCAGTGCTAATCACCCTGAGAGCTCAGTGTGTGAAAACAGAAGTAGATGCACAGACTGGATTTGCAGATCAAGAGCAGTACTCCTATCCTGCTCCTTACCATTCTTCAGGTGTTTCCAGTTTCTTCACTTAAAATAGGTCCATTCATTCATCCATTCACTCATTACAACAGAACACATGCTTAAGCTGTAGTTGGCACCAGTTTTGAAAGGGGATGGGACAAATGTATGGAAGATAAGGCTATCAGAGTTACTAGTTCCAATGGCTATATGATCCAGTATCAGAGGCAGTATGCCTATGTACAGGAGTTACTGTGGTACATAGATGAGATAGCACTGTTGCACTCGTGTCCTGCTTGTAGACAGCTGGTTGGCCACTTTGTGAACAGGATGCTGAACTAGATGGACTCTTGGTATAATGTGGTATAGCTCTTCCTATGTGATACTCAGCTTTAAACCCAAGGACTGTTTCTTTAAGACTTTCGACTTCTCAGCTTGGTGATGGTGGTTGAGCTTGGGACAGGTAGTTACAATCAAAGTTATATTAGGGTTCAGTTGAAACTGAATTTTAATCTTAGGACGAGTAATCTTCTCAGAGTGATCTGTCCAAGGTCCTGAAAAGCCAGTGTGGTGTAGTGGTTAAGAGCATGGGACTGGGACTCAGAGGATCTGGGTTCGAGTCCCCGCTCGGCCATGGAGCCAACTGGGTGACTTTGGGCCAGTCATAGTCTCTCAGCCCAACCTACCTCACAGGGTTGTTGTTGTGGGATAAGATGGAGGAGGAGAGATAATGTAAGCTGCCTTGAGCCCTTTGTAGGAAAAAGGCAGGATATAAATAAAAAAAAAATTGTTTCCACTTTTGCTTTGGTTCTGCATCCTTTTTAACCCTCAACATTTGTTATATGAATCACAGCCTCAGCCTTTCAGTTCATTTGCTGAAGTAGCCTTCTCCAAGTTGTTTCCCTTCAGATGATTTGTATGAAAAGTTCAAATAGCATTCCTGACTATTGGCCATCCTGCCTTGGGTTGAAATTCAAAACATCTGGAGGGCACCAGCTAGAATGCAAGTTGTGTTAAAGAGGATTGATTAAAACTATCTGGTTCTTGTGGGCTTGGCATACTGCTTTTATGCATAATAAACATTAGATCCTTAACTAGTGTATATTAGCATGAGATGTTTGCCCTTACAAACAGGACTGTGGAAAAAGATTGCTTTACCACTTCTGTGCTATACTGTGCTATTGTACCTCCATAATATCAGCTTCCTTGATGATTGGAAAATTGAATTAGAGGCCTTCGGACGGTGGAACTGGTTCTGGACCTTTTGCATCTGTAGAAAAGCACCTGCCCCTGTGCCTTCAAGTAGCTTTAGCGACTTTTTATTTTGCTCTCCTCTTCTCCAAGTGTTATTGGTCATTGATTATTCTCTTTCAAGTCAGCCTATTTTTGTGCATATTTTTGCAATAAACCACTTCCCTCCTGCAGATTGCATACTGTGTTCATTGTTCTGCTTCTGCCTTTTGGTGTTTCATTTCCTGACTATCCAATTCTTTCTCTGGTTTCATGATCCTACTAACCTTAATACATCTCTGTCCTTCTAACACATTCAGTTTTCCCTTGCTTCAGATGTGTTTGCCTAACTCTGTAGAGATTTAGATCCTCTTCTTCTAATTACCAAATGAATTTTTTGTAGTGAGAACTGGCCGTGTTTCTGTGTATCTTTGGTCTTCATAGATTTTAAGAGATGCATCCAGCAGGATTGCAAACAGCAGTTGGTATCTGATAGAAGGCTCTTGTCCTGCCTTTTGACATACAAATACCTGTTTTGCATTATTGCCCAAAGTGGGGCAGTTCATTGTTTATCATGAGCTCTTTGAAGAAAGTGGTAAATACTAATCACTCAGTTTTTCTGGGAAGTTCAGTTCATAGTTCTTCATATAAAATGCTTGTATGAGTAGGATACTTATAATGTTCTCATTTATGTCTTCATTGGATCTGTGCCTGGTGGATAGAAGGGAATTGCACTTGAGTCAGCATAATTTGACAGTTAGTCAGCTCTTTCCCAACTCATCTATTTCTATTTCTAGATTATGTGATATAGGTTGTTAGGAAATGAACTTGAATTTTGTAGAAATGGGGGTCATAGCTTAGTAGTAGAGCACCAGCTCTGAATACAGAAGATCCCTGGTTCAATCTGTTACATCTCTGGAGAGTAATAAAGGATCCTTCCTGAAATTCCGGAGAGCTTCTGCCAGTCAGTGTTGACAATACGGAGCTAGATGGACCAGTTTTCTGACTCAGTATAAAGCACTTCCTATGTTCCAACCTCTGGGAGAAGGACAGCAAGATGCCAAAAAGGTAGCTTAGGCATGCCATCTGCCAATACAGAGAATCTAGCAGAGGGAATTCATGTGCACATACTGTATTATGTGGATAAATATATCTGGCAATTCAGTATAGACTGTTTTGTTCCTGTCTACTTGCCTTTCTTTCCCCACTCCCAAGCATCTTGTCCATGTATACAAGGGTACTTCTCAACTCCTTCTGCAGTTTAGAGAAAGAAACTTTTCAAGCAGCGTGATGACTGCTTTCTGGAAGGGAATTCTCAGTAGCTCTACTATCAGTGTGAAGTCATTCCATGACCTTTTGAATTTTGAGAGAAGTACATTAGTCATGTTTTATGCTAGCCTGCTAACTATACTTTTGGCTGTGCTGTCTGGATTAGATTAAATACAGTAACACATTTGTGAGCATAAGGCTCCACAAATGCAATAGTCATGTTTGAATGCTTTCTGGCACGTTCAGTGGCCTTGGGGAGAGGTGAGCGTTTTCTTTTGCTCATGTTAATGTTATAGAATGAAAGAAGCATCAAGTCTGTCCTCAGTATACGTGAGACAAGGTTCCTGCTGTTTCTTGCCAGCTCTGCACTTCAACACTGCTGTCTCCTGACCACTTAAAACAATCTATAAGACTTGATGTTTGCCACATGACTGTCTGATAAACCATGGCTGTATTTTGAGGGCTACACCTAGCTTTCTGTTTTGTTTTGCATTTGCTGTGGTTGCACGAATCTACATTTCTCCTCTTATGGGAAAGGTTCATAGCACCCTATGCATCATAGATCTGCATCTGAGACCTTCTGAGGGAGCTTTCTTCTCAGGAAATGAGGAGGGTAATGACAACAAGAAGGGCCTTTTCAGAAGTGGCACCCCAACTTTGGAATGAGAACCCTAGAGAGGTTTGCCTGGAGCTCTCTTTATATTCCTTTCGGTGCCAGGCAAAGACCTGTTTATTTTGCCAGTATTTTAATTGTTAAACTGTTCTTAATGGTATTTTAATAGATTGTGGTATGAAATTATTGGGTCTGTTAAGATGAGGTAGGGCACTTTTACTGTTTTTTTGCTATTTGATTATTGTGTTTTGCTATTGTTTTTATATGGTTTTATCACTGTAACCCTCCTAGTGAGTCATGTGGCTAATCGGGTGGACTAGAAATCAAATAATAAAATAAAAATAAAAAGCACAGTGGTAGAGCACATGCTTTGCATGAAATAGATCTCAGGTTCAGTTTCTTGCATTTCCAGCTGGAAAACTCCCTTAGAACCATTATAAGTCACAGTTGGTAATAATGGGCTTGATAGACAAATGGGATATGTTATAAGTCATTTTCTGCTTCTAATGGCTTTCATGTTTCCAGTGTGTTTTTATGAGTTTCTAATCAGTTACTGTATATCAGACACAAATAATTGGCAGCCAAGGAAATAACCAAAATATCTCAAGCCCGTATAAACATTGGTTGTCTTCTCAGGGTTAAGTAAACATATATTAGTTCTATTCATACAGAAAGACAGCATGCTGTGTAGAAAATCATAATGATTCAATTTCTAATTATAGTGATTTCATAAAATACTTGGAGATACATCACTGTATCATAAGGTTACTTTCAACCATTTCATTTTCACTCAGATAATATAGAAGAACTGTTTGTCTGGGTTGTCTTTCCTGTACCATGTTAATTGATTTTAGTTAAAAGCCAAACTCTTGCTTATTGCAGGCAATAAGCAGGTTCTGAGGCATGTGCTGATATTATTTTAAATTTTCAAACACATC